CTCAGAGGTCATGAGGGTGCTTGCCATAGATGCAGGCGAAACGTCAGGAGAGAATGCCTTTAGAACATGGCCATATAGCCCGAAAAAACCTACAACAACCCTGTGTTCTATTGTTGTTTTTGTAGCAAAGGCTGGATGGCCTCTGGGGTTAAAATTGTTCTTCATGTTATTGTTGTTGTTTATTTGTTCAGTCACTTCTGACTCTTTGTGACCTCATGGACCAGCCCATGCCAGAGCTCCCTGTCGGCCGTCACCTCCCCCAGCTCCTTCAGAGTCAAGCCAGTCCCTTTAAGGATACCATCCATCTACCTTGCCCTTGGTCCTTTTCCTTTTTCCTTCCATTTTCCCAAGCATCATTGTCTTTCCCAAGCTTTCCTGTTTTCTCGTTATGTGGTCAAAGTGCTTCATCTTTGCCTCTAATATCCTTCCCTCTCTTTGGATTTTTTTTTTTTACACTACAAACAAGATATGTGCTGTGTGCATAGGAATGTGTTCATTTTTTTCAGTTACTTCACACAAGCATTCTCCATTCATTTGCCACTGGACCAGCCCATCTGTCAAATTCTCAAAGGCAGTGTGGCCCCTGTGTACATCTATTTCTTCCTTCAGCAGCTTGCATGGCTCAGTGCTCTGGAAATCATAGGTATTGTTGTTTCACAAGGACTTTAGCCTTCGCTGGAACACAACTCCAGGCATTATTATTATTATTATTTGATACATAACAAGATTAGTACACAGCAAACAAGATCACTATGCTGTCTTTTGTATTCAGTCACACATCTGATACTTCCCAAGTGTTTAGGACTGTGTGATGTATCGGCGAATAATGTGTGCAGTTCCGAGTAAGGTGGCCTTTTGCAGCTGACATGATAATTTTGTCAGTGTCAATTGTTTTCAAGTGCAGGCCAAGGCACTGCACCCAGTGTGCCGATCACCACTGGGATCACCTTTACTGGCTTGTGCCACAGTCTTTGCAGTTCGATCTTTAAATCATCATACCATGTCAGCTTTTCCACTTGTTTCTTGTCAATTCTGCAGTCATCTGAGATAGCAGCATCGATGATCCATACTTTGTTTTTTAACACGATTGTAATATCGGGAGTATTGTGCTCCAAAACTCTGTCAGTCTGAATTCGGAAGTTCCAGAGTAGTTTGACGTGTTCATTTTGTGTAACTTTTTCAGGCTTGAGATCCCACCAGTTTTGTGTCTCGGGCAGATGGCATTTGTGGCACAAGTTCCAGTGGATCATCTGAACAGTATTATGCCTCTGCTTATAGTCAGTCTGTGCGATCTTCACTTCTTCACTTCACTTTATTTCTTAATTAGTCGCTCTCCACCAAGGTGCTCCGAGCGACTTACAATTTAAAATAGCATTTCACAATATAAAACATTCAACTTAAAAACCTTTAGCAGTGACTATTTGATAATTTGATCTGATTACTTAAATGCACAACCAAACAGCCAAGTCTTGAGCGCCTTTACAAAAGGTCGCAACTCCGACATTGCTCTAACATATGGAGGCAATGAGTTCCACAGAATTGGAGCATAGATCGAAAAAGCTCTACGCCTTGTAGCTTCCAGGTGTACCTTCCTAGGGCCCAGTATGTATAGGAGATTTTCCTGGGTGGGTCGAGGTGACCACTGACGGAGAAAAGGAATAAGGTGGTCCCAAAGATATAACGGTCCTTGGCCATTTTGAGCTCTAAATGTCAGGATCAGTATCTTGTAAGAGATCTGATGTTCTATTGGTAGCCAATGTAGTTGTTGCAGAATCGGTGTAATATGGGATCTTATAGATGATCCCGCTAGCAGCCTAGCCGCCGCATTTTGGACCATCTGGTGTGTGGCGGAGGCTCCTTCTTTGGAGGCTTTTAAACAGAGGCTGGATAGCCATCTGTCAGGGGTGCTTTGAATGCAATATTCCTGCTTCTTGGCAGGGGGTTGGACTGGATGGCCCATGAGGTCTCTTCCAACTCTTTGAGTCTATGATTCTGGGTTGTTTACTTCAGAAGGCCGGAATATAAGGCATTGCAATAGTCCAACCTCGTGGTGATTGTTGTGTGGATTATCGTTGCCAATGCTTCTACTGAAAGGTAAGATGCCAATTTCCTTGCCTGGTAAAGATGAAAAAAGGCCTGCTTACTTATGGCAGTGATTTGGGCCTCCATCGTCGGCTTTGAATCCAACACAACCCCAAGGCTTTTAACAGTGGTAGACGAAACCAGAACTTCCCCATCAAAATCAGGCAGAGACTGGATTAATTCTGGCAGCTAGCTGGGCCAGAGTATCTCAGTTGTTGCAGTATTCACTTTTAGTCTGCTTGCTCGCAGCCAACTCATCACTGCTTCCAAACACAGCTTAAAGTTTCAGGAATTGCGGTGGTTGTCTCTGGTTTGAGGCGCAAGAGTAGCTGGGTATCATCTGCATACTGGTAGCACTCTATGCCAAAGCTCCGCACCAGTCCAGCAAGTGGTCGGACGTAGATGTTAAATAACAGGGGCGAAAGGATAGTATACTGGGGAACTCCACGACAGCTCAGATGTGATCCCGTTGTTTCACCTGCTTCCTTGCAGAGTCTACACATAGATTCTATCATCAACTTTTCAATACTGGCTTCGATGGCATTTGTTCGAATTCCTTGTTTTTGGGCTGCAAGAATCAGACCCTCTGTCTCCTTTTCCAAGTTCCATTTGTGAGTCACATCCATGTTTTTTCCTTGTCAGTTTTGTTCTCAGTGTTTCCCAGAAACTGAGCCGCCTTTTGCCAGTTTTCTCTTCTGCTCTGCATTGCATTTTTACGCTATTCCCTCTTTGTCTTTTGCACTTTAAGCAGTTTTCTACTATTGACTTCTATCAATGTTGTTTCTTGACTCTCACGAAATCTGCCAGGGCATGTGTCTCTTCTTCTACCGTTGGTTTCACTTGCAGAAGCCCTCTTTTGGCCTCCTGATTTTATGGACAGGCAAAGTCTGTCAACATCACTACATGGGTAATGAATAGTGGATGATGATGATGATGATAATAATAATAATAATAATAATAATAGCAACAACAATAATAATAATAATAATAATAATAATAATAGCAACAAAAATAACAACACCACTGCAGCAAAGACTGGATGGCCCCTGGGGTACTGTTAAGGTTATGCTGGTTTGAATTGTTCTTCATTTTAAATATTTCACATATTTTTCTGTCCTTTTAAAACTACAAACAAGATATGTGCAGTGTGCATAGGAATGTGTTCATTTTTCAATTAGTTCACACAAACATTCTCCATCCATTTGCCACTGACTCTGCCCATCTGTCATATTTTAAAAATTGGTTAAAAACTTTCTTGGGGTTCCACAGGAAACTTTTCCTTCAAAAATGGCACTGTGGTTTTAAAAGTTTGAGAACCCCTTTACTAGGTCATTGAACTATGGCGGTTGAGGTGGAATCAGTTTGCATTCATTCCAAGGTGAACATGTGTCACAAGTCAGGAAAGCTTTTCAGAAGCGGAGAGTATTTGGGACCTTTGGGAGATTACTTGAAACTGTCTACCAAAAGGCATCCAGGGAAAACTTTCCCCACCAACAGGCTTCAGTTTTCTTAGGATTTTCTTTGGGGAGACCAGACTTATAGGTCCATGTTCTTACTTAATGCACAAGGGAAGACTTCCTTTCCATGCTGTTTTGCCCATGCTTAGTAAGGCATTTATAGGAGGATTGCTCAGAGTAGATGTCCATTCTTCCCTAGGTCAGGATCTATTGTGTTGATCCTGACCCAGAGATCAATACAATAGACATTTCTAGGAAAGACCAGTATGAAAAGCCTGTATATTTCTCTAGCTCTCCTTCAGCTGCTGAAAATTCTTCCCTGGACAGAGGACAAGGAAAGGAAGTGGGAAAAGGCCAAGGAGGCTGGCAGGGAAAAAGGCATTGTGGATGGAGCTGCATTTGTCTTTGTATCTGAGGGAATGAATGGAGAGGCTCATTTTGTGAACATCCCAACAAGCCTCAATGTGGTTTTGAATAAGATGGATGAGGAGGCAGGGTCATGGTTGGCTGTGAAATTCCTTTGGAAAAGGAGAGGAAATTTGGTGGCAGCAGGCGTCTTAATTTGGGATGCTCAGAAAATGGACCCAGGACCCATTGTGGGATGGGAGGCAGCCCAGTAATCTTTGTCTTCCTCAGCACCGGGACTGTGGCATAACTGGCTGAGTGTCAGCTGCATTACGATCACTTCTGACTACAAGGTCATGAGTTCGAAGCCAGCCCGGGTCAGAGTGAGCTTCCAACCAATTGTGAAGCTTGTTGTCGACCTTTGCAACCTGAAAGACAGTTGCGTCTGTCAAGTAGGAAAATTAGGTACCACCTATGTGTGGGGAGGCTAATTTAACAAAATTTAGAAGATCATAAAAAAGACTCCAGCAAAAGACTCTAGCAAAAGGCATGCGGGGAATGCAGAAGTACTTCATCAGTGTCCTAGATGGACGATGAAAGCGACAGCTCCCCTGGCGGCCAGAAAAAGTTAAATAGCCTCTGACTGTTAGTCTCTATCTGTTGTGTGTCTTGGCATTGAATGTTTGCCATATATGTGTACATTGTAATCCACCCTGAGTCCCCTGCGGGGTGAGAACAGTGGAATATAAATACTGTAAATAAATAAATAAATTTAGAACACTCTAGTAATTCAGTGGATATTCATTATCCACTGAATATTGGAATGAATCAATTTTTTCTGCCTGTCTTTAGTTCCTTTAGCCATATTTGTCTTCAACCCAATGATGTTCCAATATTAGAATGAGCCCCCTTTTTTCCTTTTATCATTATTATTTAAGAATCAGTGATTGCCTTTGCTGGCATCTGTGTATGCACTTGAGACCCTGATGTCCTCATTTCTTGATATTTCCATTTTCAATATGATCCATCAAGGAAAAGGAGGGGGGGGGGGGGAATCTTGCAAGTAAAGAAGGTTTCTGGCTTTCATCACTGATCTTTTGCTTCTTTCTTCTCCAGGGAAATGAGGATTCTATGGAGCAATCTCTTGTGTGCAGTTAGGAAAACAATGATATAGGAAGAAGAAGAAATCCTCTCAAGGTGATGATCTTGCCAAATTCTTGACCTCACCTACAGATAAGAAAGGAAAAAAGCAAGAGCCAAGTATCTGTATTGCAATTCAACACCCATATCACCGTTGACATGGTTGACATGGAGGAGAAATCTTCTAAAGACCTTGAGTATGGAAACAGCTTAACACTAAGGGATCATCTGCAGCAACATAAAAGTACTCATACTGGGAAGAAGCAATATGAATGCATGGTGTGCGGAAAAAACTTCACTCAGATTGGAAGTCTACACAGACATCAAAAAATTCACACTGGAGAGAAACCCTATCCATGCCTGGAGTGTGGACAGAGCTTCACTCAGAGTTCAGATCTACGTTCGCATCAAAGGACTCACACTGGAGAGAGACCCTTTAAATGCCTAGAATGTGGACAGAGCTTCACTCGTAATGCACATCTACGGTCACATGAAATGACTCACACTGGAGTGAAACCCTATACCTGCCTGGAGTGTGGACAGAGCTTCACTCATAGTTCAGGTCTACGTTCGCATCAAAGAACTCACACTGGGGAGAAACCTTATACATGCGTGGAGTGTGGACAGAGCTTTGCTCAGAGTTCAAGTCTTCTTTCACATCTAAGGACTCACACAGGGGAGAAACCTTATACATGTCTGGAGTGTGGACAGAGCTTCACTAAGAGTGGAAATCTACGTTTGCATGAAAGGACTCACATGGGGGGGAAACCCTATACATGCTTGCAGTGTGGACAGAGCTTCACTCAGAGTTCAGATCTGTGTGCACATCAAAGATCTCACACTGGGGAGAAACCGTATACATGCCTGGAGTGTGGAAAGAGCTTCACTCGCAGTTCTGATCTACGTTCACATGAAAGGACTCACACTGGGGAGAAACCCTTTACATGCCTGGAGTGTGGACAGAGCTTCTCTCGGAGTTCAGATCTACATTCACATGAAAGGATTCACACTGGGGAGAAACCATATACATGCCTAGAGTGTGGACAGAGCTTCACTAAGAATGGAAATCTACGTTCGCATCAAAGGATTCACACTGGAGAGAAACCCTATACATGTCTGGAATGTGGACAGAGCTTCAGTCAGAGTTCAGATCTTCGCTCACATCAAAGGACTCACACTGGGGAGAAGCCCTATACATGCCTGGAGTGTGGAAAATGCTTCACTCAGAGTTCAGGTCTACGTTCACATCAAAGGACTCACACTGGGGTGAAAGCCTATATGTGCCTGGTGTGTGGACAGAGCTTCACTCATAGTTCAGGTCTACGTTCACATGAAAGGGGTCACACTGGGGAGAAACCTTATACATGCTTGCAGTGTGGACAGAGCTTCACTAGGAGTTCACATCTACGTTCACATGAAAGGATTCACACTGGGGAGAAACCTTATACATGCCTGGAGTGTGGAAAGAGTTTCACTGAGAGTGGACATCTGCGTTCACATGAAAGGACTCACACTGGAGAGAAACCCTATATGTGCCTGGAGTGTGGAATGTGCTTCTCTCGTAATTCAGGTCTACGTTTGCATGAAAGGATCCACACTAGGGAGCAACTCTAAAAATGCATGGAGTGTGGAAAGAGCTTCTCTGACCATTCAAATCTATATAGACATATAATTCATATTGGAAAGAACAGTAGTATTTGACCCCAGAGCGACTCCCTAAAACAGAGCTTTCTAAACTGTTCATGTTGGTGAAACACTTTTTATTATTATTATTTATTTCAAACATTTTTACCTCGCCCTTCTCAACCCCTGGGGGACTCAGGGCGGCTTACAATTGGCAACAATTCAATGCCACTTCATAAAATACAAATAGCAAAAATAACAAAACCATGAACATTAAAATAAAAATTAAACAGTATACTTACAATACATTTAGCTATTGCCAGTCTGATGGCTATTTATCTAGCCATATACTAATGTTTACTCCGCTTCACTTATCCAAATCCACTTCCAAGCCATAGTCAAATATTATCCATTGTCCTTTAACCTGATTGCCCAAAGGCCTGGTCCCACAACCACGATTTTACCTTCTTTCTGAAGGTGAGGAGGGATGATGATGATATAATTTTCCTGGGGAGCATATTCCACAGGCGGGGGGTTACCACTGAGAAGGCCCTGTCCCTCGTCCCTACCAAACGTGTTTGAGACAAAGGCGGGGCCGAGAGCAGGACCTCCCCAGAGGATCTTAAGCTTCAAGGTGGGACGTAGAAGGAGATACTTCGGACAGGTACACTGGACCGGAGCTGTATAGGGTTTTATAGGTCAAAACCAGCACTTTGAATTGTGCTCAGAATTGGATCGGCAGCCAGTGGAACTGACACAACAGGGGGGTGGTATGCTCCCTGTGTGACGCTCCAGTGAGTAATCTAGCTGCTACCCGTTGGACTAATTGCAGTTTCCGAACAGTCTTCAAAGGCAACCCCATATAGAGATCGTTGCAGTAATCTATTCGGGATGTGTCAAGAACGTGGACCACCATGGCCAGATTCGACTTCCCAAGGTATGGGCGCAGCTGGCGCACAAGTTTTAGTTGTGCAAAAGCTCTCCCAGCCACCGCTGAGACTTGGGGTTCCAGGCTCAGCGATGAGTCCAGGATCACTCCCAAGCTGCGAACCTCCGTCTTCAAGGGGAGTGTAACCCCATCCAACACAGGCTGTAACCCTATGCCCTGTTTGGCCTTACGACTGACCAGTAGGACCTCTGTCTTGTCTGGATTCAGTTTTTAGACATGCATCCTTTCACAAAATGGCAATTCAGTTGAACTATTAACCAGAGATCAAACCAACCCCTTATAAGATTTTGAATATAATATAATAGTAGAGATTTGTTTCATATCATCTTTATTGCATAAACAATTCTTGTGTAGTTTCCTTTATAGCTGATCCAGATTTTATTTTATCAACAGATTTTATTTTCTTAATTCTGGTAATTAATTCTGCCAAATAACAAAAGTTGTAACAGAACCTACACTTGAACATACCTGGACTCTCCTTCCAGAGTGATGAAACTTCTCTGAATATTTTTAAACAAGCTGCATAGCCTTCCATGAGTGCATTGATTGTGTCTTCCTGGCTGGTTGAAGAGGGAAGGACTAGATAACCTTTGGGGGATTTCTTCCAATCCCAGTGAAATATAGACTGCTTATAGGAGTCTGGAGTCTCCTCTGGAGTAGTTTGAGCTGAGGTTGCATGGCAGCCTGTTGGGAGGGCTTTGACTGTGACTTTCTGCCTGGCTAAAGAGGGTTGGACTAGATGCCCTTTGTGGGTCTTTTCCAGTGAGGGTCAGGATGCTCTTTTTTCATGTGACGCACCTGTGGACTACAGCCGACACACTAATGTGTCATGGCACACAGTTTGGAAAGCTCTGATCTAAGACATACAAAGTAAATGTTCGTTAATGCAGAAAAATGAGCATTGTTGGGATATTCTGCTTTTGCAGAAAGGCTTGAAAATATTGGACTCAAATGCATATGATGCTGGATGAAAATTAGAAAGTTTAGATTTACAATGAGACACGAGGAATGCTGGACAGTCATCTAGATACAACATTTGGAAGATGCCGAGAGTATGTGATAACTGCAGCAAGCATTATCATCTGCCGAACCATCCACCCAGTGAGAAACCGATGTCACAAAAAATTGCCACCCTTATCCTACAATAATAAATTCCTCTTGTGACTACTCTGAAATCTAATTTTATCTTCTTTTCTAGATATCCAAATGTAAGTCTCCATTTCTTAACTAAATCTTGTTTCCACCTCGTTTGCCATTGGATAGCTTGGTCATTGGGATATATTCTGATATTGTTTTGTCTCCAGTCCTTTAGCAACAGCTTTTTTTCTGGGTTGTTGTAGGTTTTTCCGGGCTATATGGCCATGTTCTAGAGGCATTTTCTCCTGATGTTTCGCCTGCATCTATGGCAAGCATCCTCAGAGGTAGTGAGCTCTTTTTCTCCTTTCTAATATTTTGCTATTATTCTCACTGCACCAAAACATATTCCTACATTTTTTACTGATTTTTCTTTCATGAAATAGGCTTAAGAAGCACATCTCTGGATTTTTTCTAACCTTTTTAGTGATCATATTTGTTCAATTGCTTTTTCTCCAAAAAAAAGTTTGTTCCAACTTACAGGTCCACCAGGCATGAAAAAAGTACCTTTCTGTATTTTACATCTCCAACAATTCTCTGAGTGAGATTTGTCTATTTTAGCTATGATTTTAAGTGTTACATAGCTTCTATAAAACATTGTGTACATGTTCTCTCTAATACAGCAGTTCTCAACCTGGAGGTTGCGACCCCCAGAGGGGTCGCTTGGCCGAATCCTTCAGCCCCAGCTCCTCCGCCTCTCCAGAATGGCTACCGGGTACCCTCCTTTTCTTTCCTATCCCTTTAATGCTCCGCTGGACCTTGAGCCAGATAGGAGCAGGAGGAGTCCTCTCTGCCACTGCACTGCCCGTGTTTGTGCCGGCGCTGTCACAGTGACACTGTCTGGGTCAGGCAGGCCCGGCCTCATCCAGAAAGTAGCTTTTCCTTTTTCTTTCTTTCGGGGCAGAGACAGATAGAGGGGAAGGTTCTGGCTGCAAAAGAAAGGAAGGGAAACAAGGAGGAGGCTTGTGGCAGCACATAGCACAAGGTCAGAGCAGTGTTGCAATGAGGCCTTGGGGCTAGGTTCTTGTGGGTTTTTTCGGGCTATAGAGCCATGTTCTAGAGGCATTTCTCCTGACGTTTCGCCTGCATCTATGGCAAGCATCCTCAGAGGTAGTGAGGTCTGTTGGAATTAGGACAATGGGTTTATATATCTATGGAATGGCTGGGGTGGGGCAAGGGGCTCTTCCCTGCTGCAGTTAGGTGTGAATGTTTCAGCTGATCACCTTCATTAGCATTTGAAGGCCTGCTTGAGCCTGGGAAAATATCTTGCTGGGAGATGTTAATCTGTGCCTGGTTGTTTCCTCTCTGCTGTTTTGCTGTTGTAATTTTTGAGTTTTTTAATACTGGTAGCCAGATTTTGTTCATTTTCATGGTCTCTTCCTTTCTGTTGAAATTGTCCACATGCTTGTGGATTTCAATGGCCTTGGGGCTGCTCCGCTCCTGTTCCTCCTCCTTGGCTCAAGGCCCAGTGGAGCAGCCCCAAGGCAATACTGCTCAGCTGGGCCCCAAGAGGGTGCAACGCAAGAGTAGCCTCAGCATGAGGCACTCCAGCTCCTCCGATGACAAGGCCTGCTCACCTGAGCCCACCAAGGCCGCCCTGATGCAGGGTGTAGCGCAGTCAGATCTGTTGCGTAGCAGGAGGGATCTTATTTTTCTATTTATTTACTACGCCTCTATACCGCCATTCTCAGCCCGAGGGCGACTCATGGCGGTTTACAAAACGGCACAATTCGATGCCCACAACAGTACAAAAATAGTGTAAACATTAAAAACATTTAACATAGATTAAAAATTCATTACAATTAACATCAATAAACATAATTTAAAAACCATAAGTCCGCCGCATTTCATTAATCAGTCATTGTCCAACCGTTCCGAGATCAGAGTTTCATAGCTACACTGCGTTTGGGAAGGCCTGCTCATATAGCCAGGTTTTATCTTGTTTGCAAAACGTTAAGAGGGTGGGGGCTGATCTAATGTCCCTGGGGAGGGCATTCCACAACCGAGGGGCCACCGCTGAGAAGGCCCTATCCCTCATCCCCGCCAATTGAGTCTGTGGAGATGGCAGGGTCTCCCCAGAAAATCTTAAATTCCTAGAGGGTTCGTAAGGAGAGATACGTTCAATAGGTAAGCAGGGCCAGAACCGTTTAGGGCTTTATATCCCACCACTGCCATCAATGTAGCACACCATGCCCAAACAAACCGGGCAGAGTATGACAATGAGGTGGTTAATCAGATCAATGTGGGTAGCCTAGATGTGGCTGAGCAATTTATTTATTTATTTAAATCTGTATGGGTGAGCCCAGAAACACTGATGTGAGGCTTGACTTATAAAATGCTTTTATGCAGGGTACTTTAGAAAGGAATAACTCGTTACCCCAACCAAAATCCTTTCTTCCAATGTCTTCAGCCGCCTTCTTCTGAGGTAAACCTTCTCAGTAACTGGACATGAGACTTTATTATAAAGAACGGAACAAGGAAATATTTATTCAAGGATTCACAGGTGTACAAAGTTTGATGGCTACTCTATTCCTTTCAGTGTTGTTATAGTTAATTTTATTTAACACAAATACTTTGAACAGCTTCCCATATTACTCTCAGTATGGCTTTTACTTCCACCAGACAGGTTTTAAACTTATTTCACTTCAACGTATCTTTCCTTTCCTGACTGACATTCAAGGCAGCTATCCCGCTGAAGTTATGGATTACTACTGGGGTTTCCTTCCCCTTACCTAAACAGTTAATTACTAGGCTGTTGTAGGTTTTTTCAGGCTATATGGCCATGTTCTAGAGGCATTCTCTCCTGACGTTTCGCCTGCATCTATGGGAAGTATCCTCAGAGGTAGTGAGGTCTGTTGGAACTAGGAAAAAGTGTTTATATATCTGTGGAATGACCAAGGTGGGACAAAGAACTCTTCTCTGCTGGAGCTAGGTGTGAATGTTTCAACTGACCACCTCGATTAGCATATAATGGCCTGGCAGTGCCTGGGGCAATCTTTTGTTGAGAGGTGATTAGATGTCCTTGTTTGTTTCCTCTCTGCTGTTTTGCTGTTGTAATTTTAGAGTTTTTTTTTAATACTGGTAGCCAGATTTTGTTCATTTTCATGGTTTCCTCCTTTCTGTTGAAATTGTCCACATGCTTGTGGATTTCAGTGGTGAAACGTCAAGAGAGAATGCCTCTAGAACATGGCCATATAGCCCAGAAAAAACCTACAACAGGCCAGTGATTCCGGCCATGAAAGCCTTCAACAATACAGTTAATTACTAATTTAAACAGGTCCAATTGACCCTCTGAACACACATGCCAAAGACTTAAATCCCTTAGTTTGGTTTCTAGAACCCACCTTCCACTTTGGTTCGCTGACCAAAGACTGATTTTTTAAAATGTCTGCCCCTGCCATTTGGCAGTCAGCTCCGTCCACTTTGGCTCATCTAACTTGGGTACATTCCTACAACAGCCTCTGTCACTATGGCAACACATCAGCTAAGCAGCCATAGTAAATCCTGGCCTGCACTTATGATATAACATTAATAAACATATTTAAAACATACGTTATAATTAGACATTTCGTTACACAGGGCGTCGTTTGGGTTCACAGTGCTCTCTGGATGTTAGTGAACTACATGTCCCCTAAATCATTGTCAATCCCTCCCAAACCCGTGCAGTATTTTCAGTTGGTCATGGAGGTTCTATGTGCCAAGTTTGGTCCAGATCTGTAATTCGAGAGGGTCTCCGTAGTCTCGGGAAGGTAGAGCTGAATTGGTTGAAGGTACTGCAAATCCCATCATCCGTTGCGCTAAGCTCCTCTCTCTTTGGTATCTATTAGGTTTTGTAAGCAATGCTAGTTTTTCCCATTTATATAAATTTAGTCAAATCCTTCCTTCATTGTTCAAAAATTCTCACTTCATTAAATATTGGTAGATTTTGGAATAAAAATGGCATTTTGAATAAAATCATTGTTTTTGTCACCGCTATTCTCCCCACCCAAGTTAACTGAATTCTTTGCCATCTTTCCAAATTTTCTTTAATCTCCTTCCAATTATAATTTTTTCTTAATTATTTTAAAAGAAGTTATTTTTGTTGCTTAATCATAATCCTCGATCCGTTACTTTAAAGGCTACTTTACCAGCTGATAAATTCTTTAATTTATCGGCATAGATTTTTGACAGATTTTCAGTTAAGAACATTGACTTCCCTTTATTCATTTTCAATCCTGCCACATTCCCATACTCATTAATCATTTCCATCAAGCTTTGAATACTTTTCAATGGCTCTTCTAGAATGCATACCATATCATCAGCATATACTTTAACTTTGAATTCTTTCCTTTTGTTTTCACCCCTTTTAATACAGCTGTCTTTCCTACAGCCCGGCCCATACATGATTTACCAGCTGTGCTAAACCCTGGCCCACAGCTTTAGCACAGCTGGTAAATCACCAGCAATAATAAGACCCACCAAGCTCCGGATTGGCGTAAGCTCCTGACTGTCAGCTGGTAAATCACCAGCAATAATAAGACCTACCAAGCCCCGGATCGGCATAAGTTCCTGACTGTCAACTAGTAAATCACCAGCAATAATAAGACCTACCAAGCCCCGGGTCGGCATAAGCTCATGATTGTCAGCCCAACAACCAAAGGGATGGAGAAAATGTTGATGGCTCTTTTTCATAGAGAATGGAGCGACAGCACCCACCTGTGGCTGGATTCGAGCACGACCTCCAAGGCGCCAAAAAAGCTGGATGTCGACACAACGTACCTCCTTTCTGTTCTGTCTGTCTCTCTGTCCTGTTTATCCAAAACGACATTGAATGTTTGCTGTGTATGTGTACTGTGATCCGCCCTGAGTCCCCTTGGGGAGATAGGGCAAAATATAAATAAAGTGTTATTATTACTATCATAATTCTAATGTTTAATATTTCTAATATCCATATGAAAAGCAAAGGTGACGAAGGGCATATTGCTTTCCATCGTATGTCGATCACATGGCTCCATGTTTGGTATTTAATTTTATGCTTCAATTATTAAATATATAATGTTTTGATCGTCTATTGCTTTTTTGGGTATGACTTTAGTTGCACATCTGAATCCAGCATTTCAGTACAGCTGTCCCTCCATATTTGCAGGTGTAATTTTCAATAATGATGCTATTTTTGTTTCTTACCACCCTCTCCTTATGGATTTGTTACAACATAGCTAAAATAATCTTAAATGTTCTATAAAACACGGGAGTAATAATAATAATTCGTATATGCATTAACAGATTAGCTAAAGATTATAAATAATAATAATAATAATAATAATAACAATAACAATGTATATGGAACTATTATAATCAAAGTGTTCCTTGTTTGAAAGTGCTACTTCCTGTTTAATTGTGTGGTCCTTCCTTTGATAGTAGTTGATATACTCCAGAAACTTAATTTTTATGGATGCCATGAACTGTGTTGAATTAGTTGAGACCCTATGAGATGTTCATTGGAAAACTAAAGCAAAATGTGCTACAGGATGCCTGTATTCGAATTTCAACGTATCAGGTATTTGTGCCAAATTTGGTCCAGAACCATTATTGTTTGGGTTCACAGTGCTCTCTGGACTTTGAGAAACTACAAGTCGCTTCTGGTGTGGGAGAATTGGCCGTCTGCAAGGACGTTGCCCAGGGGATGCCCAGATGTTTTGATGTTTTAACATCCTTGTGGGAGGCTTCTCTCATATCCCCGCATGGAGCTGGAGCTGATAGAGGGAGCTCATCCGCGCTCTCCCCGGATTCGAATCTGCGACCTGTCAGTCTTCAGTCCTGCCGCTGCAGGGGTTTAACCGACTGCGCCACCGGGGGGCTCCTGATACGTAGGTGAACTATATCTGGATGTAGGTGAACTACATATCCCAAACCTCCCAAACTAGTTGTGCTTCACCATCAATAACCACAAGCACTAGCTTTAGCTAATCTTAACCAGTAGCTTGAGCTAACTTTCACCAATTATACCTCCAACCAGCTTGGTACAGAGTGCTCTCTGAGTGTTGGTGAACTACAATGCCCAGAATTCTAAAACGGCACCCCCAACACCACGAGTATTCAATATTGGCCATGAAGGTAGAGTGCCAAGTTTGGTGAAGCTCCATTGTGGGTTGGGTTCAGAGTCCTCTTTGGTTGTAGGTTAACTATAAATCCCAGCAACTACAACTCTCAAATAACAAAATCATGGGGGTTCTGTGTGGGAAGTCTGGCCCAATTCTATCCTTAGTGGAGTTCAGAATGCTCTTTGATTGTAGGTGAACTATAAATCCCAACAGCTACAACTCCCAAATGTCAAGGTCTATTTTCCCCAAACTCCATCAGTGTTCACATTTGGGCATACTGAGTATACCTGCCAAGTTTGGTTCAGATTTAGCATTGTTTGAGTCCACAGTGCTCTCTGGATGTAGGTGAACTACAACACCCAAACTCAAAGTCAATGCCCACCAAACCCTTCTAGTGTTTTCTGTTGGTCATGGGAGTTCCGTATGCCAAGTTTGGTTCAATTCCATCCTGGGTGGAGTTCAGAATACTCTTTGGTTGTAAGGTTAACTATAAATCCCAACAACTGCAACTCCCTAATGGCAAAGTCAAATTTTTGAGTGATGGTCACTCCTTGGGTTAGTAGGTGTCTTGTGGCCAAATTGGGCGAAAATGTATGATGTCACTCAAAACGAACAGAGCATATATACAGTATATTTGTGTGTGTGTGTGTTTTAGTTATGTTTAATCCTGCCCCCTTTTTACATTGCTTGTGTACAGTTGTATGGATTGGTTGCTTGTAGCTGTCAATCAGTACTGTTTGGCTCCACCTCTTCCTGCAAGAGGGGATAACTTCCTTTCTCTTCATTCTGCCTTCAGAGGTCGTACCAGATGGACGTGAGTAAGAGACCTGATTCAAAAGGAGCCTGATTTAAGTTACCTCTTAGCACCAGTTCTGAGGTTTTTTACCCCTGGGACTCATGCTTTATGTCCAGATCGTCCTGGACAATTATTGAGGAGACCCAGGCGCCTTCAAGCTGGTTCTTTTGGCACCAAAGGAAGATCCTGAATCTTCAAAACATAGGCCATCTGAACTGGGGTTGTGGTTTGCTCCGGCATTCACAGCCATTGAGGAAGGAGGAAACTTGGTGAGGCTTCTCAGCTTCAAACCCCTTGGACCCAGGACTAATTGAGACTGTAACGTATGTTTTTCTTCACCCCTCTAAAGTTTTCCAGCTCATTGCTTTGAAGAAATGACTTTGTGATAAATAAAACTTATTTTGAGCTATTTACAGTGTTTTGGGTTTTTGGGAGTTCCAGTTTCCTAAAGGAGGGCAAGAAGCAATCCCTTGGGGGGAAAGTGCCACGTGCATCCCTCCGTCATTAAGAGTAATAGCCCCCAAGCCTTTGGCCACGCCCCTTCTCTTCCCATTGGGCGGGAGAGAGGGAGGGAGGCGCCGACGTCACCCAGGCCCCGCCCCCTTCCCTGCCGCCGCCATTTTTTCCTAGCATTATTAGCCTGAGTCTTTTATAGGAAAATTCTGTTGATGTCGTCCCAAAGTTGTAAATTAATGATAGACGTCTTCCATCCTGGATCCATCCCAGTTTCCTGGCCAGATGTTTACTCTTCTTGATTGGTGTTAACAAACACAAGGCTTATGTTGACTTCCTTCTTAACATAAGGAAGGTTGCAAACATTTCCTTCATCACTGTCCCAGTTCTTATCAGGGTTGCTCATTAGCAAGTCCAGCAAGCAGGTAGTTAGTCATTGCAGGCCTTAATATTATACTGGTGTCTGCAAAATTATTAGCTCCATCCATACATTCTTCCATTCATTCCCACACATCATTATAAATTCACATTTATCAAATTTGCACATTGAATTTCTTATTACAAAGGAGCTGGGCATGTTTAGCCTGAAGAAGGCTGAGAGGAGATATGATAGCCATGCATAAATATGTGAGAGGAAGCCACAGGGAGGAGGAGGGAGCAAGCTTGTTTTCTGCTTCCCTGGAGACTAGGACACAAGGGAACAATGGCTTCAAACTAGAAGAGTTGAACATGAGGAAGATAGCCATGCATAAATATGTGAGAGGAAGCCACAGGGAGGAGGAGGGAGCAAGCTTGTTTTCTGCTTCCTTGGAGACTAGGACGCAATGGAACAATGGCTTCAAACTAGAAGAGAGGAGATTCCATCTGAACATGAGGAAGAACTTCCTGACTGTGAGAGCCGTTCAGCAGTGGAACTCTCTGCCCCGGAGTGTGGTGGAGGCTCCTTCTTTGGAAGCTTTTAAGCGGAGGCTGGATGGCCATTTGTCAGGGGTGATTTGAATGCAATATTCCTGCTTCTTGGCAGAATGGGGTTGGACTGGATGGCCCATGAGGTCTCTTCCAACTCTTTGATTCTATGAATGGGGGATGCCTGGCTTGAGAGCAGTACATGTGCTGCTCTCAAAAGAGATATTGACAAGCTGGGATGTTTCCAGAGGAAGAGGGTGACTAAAATGATCAAGGGTCTGGAGAACAAGCCCTATGAGGAGCGGCTTAAGGAGCTGGCATGTTTAGCCTGAAGAAGAGAAGGCTGAGAGGAGATGATAGCCATGTATAAATATGTGAGAGGAAGCCACAGGGAGGAGGGAGCAAGCTTGTTTTCTGCTTCCTTGGAGACTAGGACGCAATGGAACAATGGCTTCAAACTACAAGAGAGGAGATTCCATCTGAACATGAGGAAGAACTTCCTGACTGTGAGAGCCGTTCATCAGTGGAACTCTCTGCCCTGGAGGGAGTGTGGTGGAGGCTCCTTCTTTGGAAGCTTTGAAACAGAGGCTGGGTGGCCATCTGTCAGGGGTGATTTGAATGCAATATTCCTGCTTCTTGGCAGAATGGGGTTGGACTGGATGATGGCCCAGGAGGTCTCTTCCAACTCTTTGATTCTAGGATTCTTCTCGGTTCTCCACCCACTTCTGAGTCCTGGAGGGATTCTCTTCCCTTTGCTGGGAGGAGCAGGGCTTCCCTCCTGGGGCTCTTTTGCAAAGCCTGTGGCCACGCCCCCTTCGCTTCCTATTGGGCGGGAGGGAGGCCTAATAGGCTCCGCCCCCTTCTCAGTCCCCGCCGCCATTTTGACGAGGAAGGGAAGGAGGAAGAAGAAGGAGGTGAGGGGGGGGGGGGGTGTCACGGAGAGGAAGGGGCGAGGCCTCCCCCCGAAGAGATCTCCATCCGGGACCCATTTGGGATCTGGAGCAGGAGGCCCCAAGGCAGCAGCCAGGGAAGGAAAAGAGGGAGGGAGGCTTTCCTTCCTTTCCCAACTCAGCCGCGGCCTCCTCTTTCCTGAGGGACTCCCTCCTTCGAGGCCAGGCCCAGAGACACACACAGAGACACACACACACCCAGGCCCTTCGGGAGTGAGTCTCCTTGCAGAGGCCGCAGCGTGGATTTTCAACTCTGGGCCTTGTGTTTACTCTCTCTCTCCTGGGAACATGGCGGAGGGAGGGGAGGGGGGGAAATGACAGGAAAACGCGGGGAGGGGTCTTCCCTCCTTCACCCCCTCCCTCCCCCCTTGAAAAATGAACCGCCCCCCTCGTTCTGGCGCCCCCTTTTGGCCTCTGCCCGCATCATGGGACAGTCACGGAATATTTTGTATCATGTTGATGTGAACTACAACTCCCAAACTCAAGGTCGATGCCCACCAAACCCTTCTAGTGTTTTCTCTCGCTCATGGGGGTTCTGTGTGGGAAGTCTGGCCCAATTCTATCCTTAGTGGAGTTCAGAATGCTCTTTGATTGTAGGTGAACTATAAATCCCAACAGCTACAACTCCCAAATGTCAAGGTCTATTTTCCCCAAACTCCATCAGTGTTCACATTTGGGCATACTGAGTATACCTGCCAAGTTTGGTTCAGATTTAGCATTGTTTGAGTCCACAGTGCTCTCTGGATGTAGGTGAACTACAACACCCAAACTCAAAGTCAATGCCCACCAAACCCTTCTAGTGTTTTCTGTTGGTCATGGGAGTTCCGTATGCCAAGTTTGGTTCAATTCCATCCTGGGTGGAGTTCAGAATACTCTTTGGTTGTAAGGTTAACTATAAATCCCAACAACTGCAACTCCCTAATGGCAAAGTCAAATTTTTGAGTGATTGTCACTCCTTGGGTTAGTAGGTGTCTTGTGGCCAAATTGGGCGAAAATGTATGATGTCACTCAAAACGAACAGCGCATATATACAGTATATTTGTGTGTGTGTGTGTGTTTTAGTTATGTTTAATCCTGCCCCCTTTTTACATTGCTTGTGTACAGTTGTATGGATTAGTTGCTTGTAGCTGTCAATCAGTACTGTTTGGCTCCACCTCTTCCTGCAAGAGGGGATAACTTCCTTTCTCTTCATTCTGCCTTCAGAGGTCGTACCAGATGGACGTGAGTAAGAGACCTGATTCAAAAGGACCCTGATTTAAGTTACCTCTTAGCACCAGTTCTGAGGTTTTTTACCCCTGGGACTCATGCTTTATGTCCAGATCGTCCTGGACAATTATTGAGGAGACCCAGGCGCCTTCAATCGGTTCTTTTGGCACCAAAGGAAGATCCTGAATCTTCAAAACATAGGCCATCTGAACTGGGGTTGTGGTTTGCTCCGTCATTCACAGCCATTGAGGAAAGAGGAAACTTGGTGAGGCTTCTCAGCTTCAAACCCCTTGGACCCAGGACTAATTGAGACTGTAACGTATGTCAAATTTTTGAGTGATAGTCACTCCTTGGGTTAGTAGGTGTCTTGTGGCCAAATTGGGCGAAAATGTATGATGCCACTCAAAACGAACAGAGCATATATATAGTATATTTGTGTGTGTGTGTTTTAGTTATGCTCTAACCCAGGTATGGGCGAACTTGGGCCGTCCAGGTGTTTTGGACTACAACTCCCACAATTCCTCACAGCCCCAGGCCCCTCCCTTTTCCCCATTAGCCACTCAAGCAGATGGTGGTCAGGCAAGTGGGTGTATAGATATATATGTCTACCTGTGGAATCTCCCAATCCCCCTCCCTGCCCACACCCAACCTTCCCTCTCTCCACACAAGCTGCATTCCCCACACCCAAGTCGCCCTCCCTGGCCACCCCCCACAACCAAGCCCCCCTCATTTCCCACTCCCCACACCCAAGACCCTCTCTGCCCTGTCCCCACACACAGGCCTCTCTTTCCTCCCCACTCGCCACACCCAAGCCCCCTCCTTGCCCATTCCCCATGTGCAAGCCGCCCTCCCTGCCCACTCCCTCCCAGCTTCACACATTTCCCTCCCCACGCCCAAGCCTCCCTCCCTGCCCACTCCCAATGCCCAAGCCACTCTCATTTCCCACTCCCCACACCCAAACCCCCCTCATTTCCCACCCACACACCCAAGCTTCCCATGCCCCTCTAGTTTCCTACTCCCCACACCCAAGCCCTCTCTCTGCCCATGCCCAAGCTCTCCCTCCCTGCCCACTCCCCGCACTCAGCCACCCTCCCACTCCCCACACCAAGCCCCCTCATTTCTCCTCCCACACATGCTCCTCCTTGCCCTGTCCCCCTCACAAGCCTCCCTTTCCTGATCACTCCCCATGCGCAAGCTTCCCTCCCTGCCCTGTCTCTGATGCCGAGCACCCCCCCCCCCCAAGTACTTATAGTTCTGCCAAGGGCAAGGGCACCAGACTACACAGCAAGGATCAAGTCTTGGTCACATTGCCAAAGCACTGACAATAACAAGGACCCCACGAGGCTTTTGGGAAACGGCTGGACCTTGGGACTTCTGCCCTCCATGAGAGTTATAGTTTCCCAAAGACCAAGCTATGGATCTTGTTACCAGTCAACTCAGCGCCCATCTGCTAACCTTAACCAGGAAAAATGACTTTCTGCTTGCTTGCTTTGAACTGCAAGCCACCTCCATTTCCACAAACTTTCTCCAGAACCATGGGACTCCAAGTTTTCAATTAAAATCAATTCCTCTATTAAATATACTTGGGATGTGGGACAAAGATGGGGTTTTGTTGCCATGAAATGCTTATGATTTGAATGTATGTATCTTGCTGTGTAGTATGGTCTATTCCCCCTTGACCCTTGACCCACAAATGATGTGACCAGGAACTGCCTGAGGGAGAACCTCTGCATCTCCCAAGACTCGCCTTCGATTAATTCACCCTGCATGGAACCATAGCCATAATGGCCCCTCCCCATTCTCTGAGCATGTCTGATGGGATAAGGGGACTTATGGACGCTCGGAATAAAAAGATTGTATTTGCATAAGGCATCGTTGATCCCCCCTGAGGTCCGATGCCGAAATAGTCATTCATATCCCCCCCAAAGCTCATCAAGGGACAGGAAGACTTCTGTTTCATAAATCACACCCTGCCAGCGAGGACAAAAGCCTCGTATTCCAGCTGGCAGATGACTCGTAAGCCCATCATTTCCCTTCCCATTGTCAAGGTTCGTCCCGCCTCCTGGTCTCTGATTGGTCCATCTTCGGAAGCGCTAGGAAGGCACTGATTGGCCTCCCAGAGACAGCAGAGCTTGCTGATTGGTCCGGAGGCGAGGCGGGCCGCCAAGCCTCCTCCCAGCTGTTCTGCCGCCAGCCAATCAGCGCGAAGCCGGCCGGCAATGGGCGGGCGGGAGTTTTATTTATTTATTTATTTATTTGCTTTGCTTATATACCGCTGTATCTCAAGCCTGAAGGCGACTCACAGCGGTTCACAAACAGTAAAAACAGTGTTTTTGCTATAAAAATGCTTGGAAACTTTGTACTGGCATGCTTGCGGTGGAATGATTCCTGCAATACATCTGATATCAGCTGAATCGCTAAATAAACGCCTCGGTCGCTGGACTTCTTCTGCTTTGCTGAGGTCTTATTATTTTAATATTCCTCGCGGCTCTGATTGGCTCCCGCTGGCCTCACCAAGGTTCAAGGGCCCTTTTGAGCGGTCCTCAGGGATCTCCTCCGCTGGGGAGACCCTCCCAAAGGAGCTCGATATCATCTCCATTCCCAAGCTGCCCTTTCCTGCCCACTTTTAATAAGAAATTCAATGGTTGTGGGGTCGAGCAGGTGTCCCCCAACAAGGCCTTCTGTGAACGACCCTCTAGGAAGGACTGGGGCCACTGCAAAACAGTGCCTCCAAGACCCATTCCTGCGAGGCGTCCCAGAAGGATACTGTGGTCGACGGTATCGAAGGCTGTGGAGAGGTCCAGCAGAACCAGCAGGGACACGCTCCCCCTGTCTAGCTCCTGGAGTAGATCATCAACTAAGGCGACCAAGGCTGTCTCGGTTCCATGTCCCGGCCTAAAACCAGACTTTGCTGGGTCCAGATAATCAGTGTCTTCCAAGAATACCGGGAGTTGTGAGGCCACCACACATTCCAGGACTTTGCCCAAAAAGTGTAGATTGGAAACAGGCTGATAGTTGACCAATTGAGGGGGGTCCATTGATGGTTTCTTCAACAGCGGTTTTATCAGCTTGTTTTAAGCTTGCTGGAATATTGCCTTCCCGAAGGGAAGGGCATTAACCACCACCTTAACCCACCCTGCCCCTCAAAGGCCAGGATGGGCAGGGGTCTAGGATGCATGTGGTCGCCCTCATCCCTCCATGTATCTTGTCCACATCCTTGGGTTTCACCAATTGAAATGAATCCATCAAAATCGGACAAGTAGACCACAAAGAAAGACCCCCATGCATGATAGATCTGAACCAAACTTGGCACACAGAACCTCCATGACCAACAGAAAATACTGGAGGGGTTTGGGAGGAATTCACAGTAATAAGATCCTAGTGTTGCAAGAGACCTCCAAGATCCATCCAGTCCAACCTCCTTCTGCCATAAGGGAAAAACACAAAGCACTCCTAACAGATGACTATAGAGACTCCGCTTATTATTATTGTTGTTGTTGTTATTATTATTATTATTAGTAGTAGTAGTAGTAGTAGTAATAGAATCCTAGAGTAGGAAGACACCTCCAAGGGCCATCCAGTCCAACCTCCTTCTGGCATAAGGGAAAAGCACAATCAAAACACTCCTAACAGATGACTATAGAGAGTAATAGAATCCTAGAGTAGGAAGACACTTCCAAGGGCCATCCAGTCCAACCTCCTTCTGCCATAAGGGAAAAACACAATCAAAACACTCCTGATAGATTTAGTCTCTCCTTAATAATAATAATAATAATAATAATAATAATAATAATAATAATAATAATAATAATATCCTGGAGTAGGAATAAACCTCCAGGAGCCATCCAATCCAACCTCCAACCTCCTTCTGCCATTCAGACTATCAACCTCCATGACCAACAGAAAATACTGGAGGGGTTTGGGACAGTAATAAGATCCTAGTGTTGCAAGAGACCTCCAAGGTCCATCCAGTCCAACCTCCTTCTGCCATAAGGGAAAAACACAAAGCACTCCTAACAGATGACTATAGAGACTCCACTTATTATTATTATTATTGTTATTATTATTATTATTATTATTATTATTATTATTATTAGTAGTAGTAGTAGTAGTAATAGAATCCTAGAGTAGGAAGACACCTCCAAGGGCCATCCAGTCCAACCTCCTTCGGGCATAAGGGAAAAGCACAATCAAAACACTCTTGATAGATTTAGACTCTCAATAACAATAATAATAATAATAATAATAATAATAATATTCTGGAGTAGGAAGAAACCTCCAGGAGCCATCCAGTCCAACCTCCAACCTCCTTCTGCCATTCAGACTATCAATAATAATAATAATAAAAATAATAATAGAATCCTGGGTTAGTCTGGTGGTATGGAAAATAAAGTAATGAGAAGCAGCCAGGGTTCGAAGCTGCAAGGCTTTTCAGTGATATTCATGCTGGCCAAAACACTAAAAAAAGCCTCTTTGAAACAAAGCCTGGATGGCCATCTGTCGGGGTGCTTTGAATGTGTTTTTCCTGCTTCTTGACAGAATGGGGTTGGCCAGGATGGCCCACCAGGTGTCTTCCAACTCTAGGATTCTCTGGTTCTATATTCTTCCCTTCACTAGTTCCTGCTTGCTTGCTTGCCTGCCCGCCCTCCTTCCTTCCTTCCCTCTTCCATTCCTTTCCTCTCCCATTGCTGTCTCCTTCCCTTACTTCCTCTTTCTTTCCTTCTACCTTTCTTTCCATTCATATTATTCTCTTCTCTTCACCAATCCTTTTCTTCTTTTGTTTTCTCTCCTTTTCCTCCCTCCCTCCCTCCTCCTTCCCTCCCTCCCTCCCTCCCTCCCTCCCTCCCTCCCTCCCCCCCTTCCTTCCTTCCTTCCTTCCTTCCTCCTTCCTTTCCTTCCTTCCTTCCTCCTTCCTTTGTGTGTGCAATGTTTTAAGGCAAGGGGAAGGGTTGGGGTGGTGAAAGGGGGGATGTGGAGCCCAAGTGGGGGAGTTGCTGGTCTTCTCATAGTCGCATTCTCCCTTCATTCAGTGGGTCCGGGGTGGGGGGCGGTGGGCTTACTTACTTACTTACTTACTTACTTAGGCGATCCCTTGTAGTCCAAGGATGATGGTCCTCCAAGTTCGGTGTCCTGGGGGTGGGTTTGTAGGTGGCTGTGGCGCCCTATTCTTGATCTGCATCTTCTCCCACAGTGAGGGCATTAGTTTCCAGGTGGGATGCAGTCTCAGTCAGAGTTGGCTTGACGCGCCTTCCTCTTGGCACATTTCTCTCTTTCCCTCCATTTGTGTCTCTTCAAATTCTGCAGCACTGCTGGTCACAGCTGACTTCCAACTGGAGCGGTCAAGGGCCAGGGCTTCCCAGTTCTCAGTGTCTATGCCAGAGTTTTTAAGGTTGGCTTTGAGCCCATCTTTAAATCTCTTTTCCTGTCCACCAACATTCCGTTTTCCGTTCTTGAGTTCGGAGTAGAGCAACTGCTTTGGGAGATGGTAGTCGGGCATCCAGACAATGTGGCCAGTCCAGCGGAGTTGATGGCGGAGTTGAGGACCATTGCTTCGATGCTGGCAGTGAGCAGCTTCTCATACAGCCAGGCTTGCCTTGCAATTCTCTGGTCTTGTGAGAAGGGTTGCCTTGTGGGCACTTGGGCCTCATGGAGTGGCTGCGGTGGCTCCAGCTGCTGCCGGGGTTTGCCTCGCCAAACCTCCACGGCCGCTGTAGGGCCAGGCCTTCTCCTTCCTTCTCTCTTTCCTTTCCTCAATCCCACCCCTCCCCAATAGAAAGAGGACTCCGCCTTCCTCCATGGAAAGGGACTCCATAGCTAGGCTTCTCCTCCCTCACAACGGATGGTGTGTTATTCTTCTCGCATGCTGGGGGGGGGGGGGGATTGCGCATGCTCTGTAAGGTATTTTTCAGGTATGTGTTTTGCTACCAAATTTGGTGACATTTGGCCCAGTAATTTTGTTGCTTTTAACATCCTACAAATGAACAGTGTGTGTGTATATATATATCTGTGTGTGTGTGTGTGTGTGTGTATATATATAATAAAGCATAAAGAAATTAAACATATACAAACAAAAAGGGGTCCCAAGGATAGTGGTGGAGTTGATCCCACAGAGACCACCACCTACAAGACATAGGGACACATATGCGAGGGGACACATGGGGTAACAAAGGGACCCGATCCTCCTTGGGCACCCACAGAGCAAGAAAGGTGAAATAAAGGCAAAAAGCAAGGTCATCATGCACATGAGGGTCCCGTGGGGGTAAGGTAGTGTAGACATTAGACAGGCTGACCCGTGAGTGTCGAGGGAGATCCTCTGGACCCCCATATTCACAGGGGGTTGGGTTGACATGGATAATGGGTTATAGGGTTAAGCACAAGGGAAGGCATTATGGGGTAGGTTTGTTGAGAGATGAAAGAGGTACAGATCTGCAGATAAGTGAATGTCAGTAAATGGCAAGGGTAAAAGGTGGGTTGGTTGCCTGCTGGTGCTCCTGGATTGTTTGGAAGGCAGCGATGGGGTATTTGTGGGGTAGCGTCTGGCATACAAGGTTATGAACTGTCTCTGTCCCGGGTCCCTGGAGAGTCCTGGAGGGCAGTGGTCCATGTGGCCCGGGCCGTTGCCGGCAGTGTGAAGGAATGTGGAAGTGAGGGGAAAGAAAAGATTTCATGCAGCAAAGAAGATGGAGAAGCAAAAGTTAAGGATAACTTCATTTTATTGAGGGGTTTTAGACCATAGCAGGGTTAAGATGTGTTCTCTGGACTGGTGGCTGCTGCTGGATCTCCTCTGGATGTTCGCAGCATTCATTTAGATAAAAATAAAATCCGTGTTAACCCACAAAACGCTCCGCAATGGTACCAAGTCCATAAATTTGATAATTTGATTTGGGGGGGGGGGGGTGTCACCATGCTCAATATCATTTCCCTCCTTCCTTTTTCTTCTTTCTTTCTGGATTCATTCCCTTTTTAAAGAATCAGTGATTTCCTTTGCTGGTATCTGTGTAGGTGCTTGAGACAATGTCTGCATATTTGATGTTTCTATTTCAGCATGACTCATGAAGGGAAACGGGGGGAAATCTTGGAGGTAAAGTAGGTTTCTGACTCATTATTGATCTTTTGCTTCTATCTTGACTAGGGAAACGAGAATCCTATGAAGCTACCTCTTGGGTGCAGTAAGGAAACCAATAATACAGGAAGAAGAAGCAATCTTTTCAAGTTGGTGATCTTGTTCAATTCTTGACATCACTTACAAAGAAGAAAGGAACCAAGAAGAGCCAACTATCTGTATTGTAATTCGGCACCCATGCCACTGCTGACATGAAGGGGAAAGCATTGAAATGCCTTGAGTGCGGAAAGAGTTTCACTCGGAGGGATCATCTCCAGAATCATGAAAGGACTCACACTGGGGAGAAACCCTACAAATGCCTGGAGTGTGGAAAGAGTTTCACTCAGAAGTATCTACTGCAGCAACATGAAGGTACTCACACTGGGAAGAAGCCCTATGAATGCCTAGAATGTGGAAAGAGCTTCACTTTTTATTCAACTCTACATTCTCATAAAAAAACTCACACTGGGGAGAAGTCCTATGAATGCTTGAAGTGTAGAAAGAGTTTCTTTCGGAGGGAACATCTCCAGAATCATGAAAGGACTCACACTGGGGAGAAACCCTATAAATGCATGGAGTGTGGAAAGGGTTTTGCTCGAAGAGAATATCTGAAGAAACATGAAATGATTCACACCGGGGAGAAACCCTATACATGCCTGGAGTGTGGAAAGAGCTTCAATCAGAACCAAAATCTATGTGCACATCAAAGGATTCATAATATGGAGAAACCATATAAATGCCTAGAGTGTGGAAAGAGCTTCACTCAGAGTTCAGGACTACGTGCGCATCAAAGGACTCACACTGGAGAGAAACCCAACACATGTCTGGAGTGTGGGAAGAGTTTCACTCAGAGTGCAAATCTATATTTACATCAAAGAACTCACAATATGGAGAAACCTTATATGTGCCTGGAATGTGGACAGAGCTTCAATCAGCGTTCATGTCTACTTTCACATCAAATGAATCACACTGGGGAGAAACCGTATAAATGCCTGGAGTGTGGAAAAAGCTTCAATCGGAGTTCAAGTCTACGTTCACATCAAAGGACACATACTGGAGAGAAACCCTACAAATGCCTTGAGTGTGGACAGAGCTTCACTGTTAATTCAAGTCTACATAAACATCGAAGGATTCATACTGGGGAGAAACCCTATACATGTCTGGAGTGTGGAAAGAGCTTCCCCCACAATTCAAATCTACGTTTTCATCAAAGAATCCACACTGGGGAGAAACCTTATAAATGCTTTGAGTGTGGAAAGAACTTCACCCATACTTCAGGTCTACGTAATCATCAAAGGACCCACACTGGGGAGAACCCGTATAAATGCCTGGAGTGTGGACAGAGCTTCACTCGGAGTTCAGGTCTACGTTCACACCAAAAGACACACTGGTGAGAAACCCTATAAAAGCCTGGACTGTGAACTGAGCTTCTCTGAGAGTGTAAATTTAGATTCGCATCAAAGGACTCACACTGGGGAGAAACCTTATACATGCCTGGTGTGTGGACAAAACTTCACTCATCAATCAAGTCTAGGTTCACATCAAAGAACTCACACTGGGGAGAAACCCTTTAAAAGTCTGGAGTGTGGACACAGCTTCACTCGGAGTTCAGGTCTAGGTTCACATCAAAGGACTCATACTGGAGAGAAACCCTACAAGTGCCTTGAGTGTGGACAGAGCTTCACTGTTAATTCAAGTCTACATAGACATCGAAGGACTCARACTGGGGAGAAACCCTATACATGTCTACAGTGTGGACAGAACTTCACAATTAAATCAAGTCTAGGTTCACATCAAAGAACTCACACTGGGGAGAAACCCTATAAGTGCCTGGGGTGTGGACAGAGCTGCACTCAGAGTTCAGGTCTACATTCACACCAAAAGACACACACTGGGGAGAAACCCTGAAAATTCCTGGAGTGTGGACTGAGCTTCACTTTGAGTACCGTATATTCTGGCGTATAAGACTACTTTTTAATCCAAGAAAATCTTCTCAAAAGTCAGGGGTTATCCAATACGCAGGAGTTGTCTTATACACGGGAGTTGTCTTATACGCTGGAGTAGTCCTATGCCTGGGAGTCATCTTATATTTGGGGGTAGTTTTATACACTGGAAGTCGTCTTATAGAGTGGATGCTGAAACTTCCAATCCGGATTGGAGAATCTGTGGTTGCTGCATATTGTGGGGAAGCTCAAAAATGGGAGTGGCTTTGTCCCCGCCGTATGCAGCGACTGTATGAAAGCATAAAGGGCGATGCTGTACAAGTATGGTAGAAGAAAATCCATTCATCAGGATTCGTGGACTTAATGCGGTCCCGGTGGTGAGGTGAAGGGGCGCCTCACTGGGAAGGTGTAAGTGAAGGGCGGAGCAAGCTGTAGGCATCCGGGGTGCCTGGTGTATGGAAAAAAGAGATAGAGTGGCTCTGGGCCCAGAAAAACACATCTCTTTTACCTGTCTGGCCCGCCCATGTATCCTATTACAGTACCTCCTCCTCTGCCTCTCAGATCTCGCACCTGAAAACTGCAGTGAAGTAGTGTGCATGTGCAAGATCTGAGAGGAAGAGAAGGAGGTACAGTAATAGAAAAATTACCATATTGAAATCAAATCTGATGGTTTTAAAATTTTTATTTGGTTTGTGTTGGAAGAGGGGTAGTCTTATATGGCGAGTATATCCCAAACTCTATATGTTACCTGGAAAAGTTGARGGTCGTCTTATGCGCCCAGTCATCTTATATGCTGGAATATACGGTAATTTATGTTTGCATCAAAGGATTCACACTGGGGAGAAACCCTATTCATGCCGGCAGTGTGGACAGAACTTCACTCATCAGTCAAGTCTAGGTTCACATCAAAGAACTCATACTGAGGAGAAACCTTATAAGTGCCTTGAGTGTGGACAGAGCTTCACTCTTAATTCAAGTCTACATAGACATTGAAAGACTCACGCTGGGGAGAAGCCTTAGAAACATATGTTGTTTGGAAAGCGCAGTTTGGAAGATGCCTAGAATATCCGATAACTGCAGCAAGCAGAATTTATCCTCAGACTGGAGGAAATTATTATCCCACACAAGAAGATGACTGAGGAAAATCCGCGAATGGTCAGAGATGGACAAAGTGACTCTGCTGATTAAAAGGTTATCTTGGAGAAACTTCAAGAAAGTTTGGGACTTCTTTATCACTTTTTCGCAACAACAGGGGCAAATGTCACTTGTCAGGTTTATGAATTAGAAGAGTGTTGCCTTTTGAAACCTAATAAGGATCCTACAAACCCTGGATCGTATAGTCACATTTTGTTAATCAACATGCCAAAATTTTAACTGCAATTATGGCAAAAATAATGAATGTATATATAAATATATCTATGAAGATCACTGTGGCTTCATATCAGGGAGACCAGAGTCAAATTTAATGGGCAGGATACTAAATGTAATTTGTACTCTAAAAAGAAAAAAAAATGGCAGCAGGTTGTACTAGTTCTGTATATGTAAAAGGCTTTTGATTGTGTCTCTTGGTCTGCCTTAAACCTGGTATTGGAGAAATTTGKATTTAGAGAAATCTTTAGAGCAGTGGTTCTCTACCCGTGGGTCCCCAGATGTTTTGGCCTTCAACTCCCAGAAATCCTAACAGCTGGTAAGCTGACTGGGATTTCTGGGTGTTGTAGGCCAAAACACCTGGGGACCCACAGGTTGAGAACCACTGCTTTAGAGGCTTAACTGATAAATTATAGTATCAAGGAATTATGCCTCAGTAATAGTTAATTAGGGCCTAACAGAAAAAAAATAAGCATAACCTGAAGTACAAGACAAGGTTGTCTCCTTTCTCCAATTCTGTTTGCAATACGAATGGAAATTCTAACTAATGTAATTAGAGAGAAAGTTAGTATAAAAAGAAAAGGACTAAAAGAAAAAGATAAAATTATTTTATTTGCAGATGACACCCTTTTATCAGTGGAAAACCCAAGAAAACAGGGGGGAGGGGGGAAATGAAGATTACCTAACAGGATTTGGAAAAATAACAGGTCTACAAATCAATTGGAACAAGTCAGAAATGTTTTATTTAACTATCAGGAAGAAAAGATAACATATAAAGCAGGAGGGGAAAATAAAAATTAAAGAGTCAGTCAAATATTGGGAATAAATATATGTAAATAATTAGATAATTTAGAGACAAAGAGTCTTACTAAGCTAAGAAAGGAAATTATTGGCGCAATGGGTGAAACCCTTGTGCTGCTGACCTGAAGGTTGGCTGAACTAGTGACCTAAAAGAAGGCAGTTTGAATCTGCGAGATGGGGTGAGCTGCCGTCTGTCAGTTCCAGCTCTTGCCAAGCTAGCAATTAAAAAAGTATAATGGGATAGAGATCATACAAAATTTGAGAGAATGGCAACCCAAAGAGAGAATAAAGAAAATGAAGCAATAAGAGGAACGATAAGTGTTCTTTATAAATTATTGTTAGAAGATGGCCAGAAATAAGACCATCTTAGAGAACGTTGAGCGGAGGAGGCCCTCCTCTCAGTCCCACCTCTGTCTCAAGCACGGCTGGTGGGAATGAGAAAAGGGGCCTTCTCCGTGATCGATCTCCACCTCTGGAAATCCCTAAAAAACTGAAAACTGCCGCTTCTCTCTTTCAAGAAGCTCTTAAAAACTTACTTATGTATTTAAGCATACCGGGGGGGGGGGGGGGAATAGCACTTTATTTCAATTGTGACTCAGCTGAAGGAGACTGACCTTTCTCCGGGTGTTTAAATGTGTTTAAAACTAGAGAAATGTATCCCAATGATTTTACTCTCTATCTTTAAATTTCTCATGTGCTATTTTGAGTTTTTTTATAAGTATATTTTTATGTTTTATATTTGATAGTTTATTATATAAAGTGTTTTATTATGTATATTTTCTAGGCATTGAATGTTTACCGATTCTTTGTTGTACACCACCCTGAGTCCCTTTTGGGAGATAGAGTGGGATTTTTATTTTTGTTGTGTCAGGAGCGACTTGAGAAACTGCAAGTCGCTTCTGGTGCGAGAGAATTGGCCGTCTGCAAGGAAGTTGCCCAGGGGACGCCTGGATGATTTGATGTTTTTATCATCCTTGTGGGAGGCTTCTCTCATGTCTCTGCATGAGGAGCTGGAGCTGATAGAGGGAGCTCATCCTCCTCTCCCCAGATTCGAACCTGCAACCTGTTGGTCTTCAGTCCTGCTGGCACAGGGGTTTAACCCACTGTGCCACCGGAGGCTCCATAGAGTGGGATAGAAATAAATTATTGTTGTTGTTATTACTATAAGAACTAGATTTAGGGGAAAATTGAATATTCAAGAGTGGACAAGAATATGGAACATGTATATTTTAAAAATATTTCTATAAGAACTAAGGAAAATTGTTATAAAAAATGATAGAGGTGGTATTTAACTCCTGTTAGAGTAAATCAGAGACAATAAATATTCAAACCAATGTTGGAGAGGTTGCCAAGAAGTAGGTTCATACATTCAAATGTGGTGGTCCTGTAAATTTATATTAAAAGTATTTAAAGAAATAAGGGCAGTAATAAGAAATAGAGCTAAGATTACACCAATATGATAAGATGATGATATCACAAGAAGAGAAATAATAATAATAAAAAAACTATTTTAACTCTTTTAACTATTTGAATAAATAATAATAATAATAATAATAATAATAATAATAATATAATAATAACTCACCCTCCCTCCCTAAAGGGACTCAGGGCAGCTTCCAAAAACAAAATGGCACACATTCAATGCCATTTTTAGTGTCAAAATAAGCAAAACAGAAGGGAAACGATTAAAATTAACAGTTTTATTTATTTATCGTATCAGAGGCGAATCGAGGGGACAGTTGTAATGTATTTAAAAACACAATCAGAGTTTACTAAATGCCCTTTGAGTAGTAGCTGGCCCCTTGGAGTGCCTCTGGTGTTGCTGTAAGAAGAAGGTCCTCCATTGTGCATGTGGCAGGGCTCAGTCAGGCCTCATAAATAACACATTAAGCAGTTAAAATCTATAAAAAAATATGGCTTTCCTATAAGTTAAGGTAATCACCGTCAGCATTGTCAGTCGAGGTAGAACCAATGGCAAACTGGTCACCTTCCTCTCCGTAGGCTAACGTGCAAAAGTAGGCTTTTAGTTGTTACTTTAATGGGGAAGAGTGAGGAGGCTGTTCTAATTTCCATAGGGAAAATTAGAATTTATAAATGTATTTATAAACTCAATAAATTAGCCTTTAGTTCATTAATGGCTGCGAAATTGATAGTTACACAGAACTGGAAAGGTAAAAGGGAAGTCCCTTTAGAAGAAGAGAGAACAAGAGAGAACAAGCCCTATGAGGAGAGGCTTAAGGAGCTGGGCATGTTTAGCCTGAAGAAGAGAAGGCTGAGAGGAGATATGATAGCCATGTATAAATATGTGAGAGGAAGCCACAGGGAGGAGGGAGCAAGCTTGTTTTCTGCTTCCTTGGAGACTAGGACGCAAGGGAACAATGGCTTCAAACTACAAGAGAGGAGATTCCATCTGAACATTAGGAAGAACTTCCTGACTGTGAGAGCCGTTCAGCAGTGGAACTCTCTGCCCAGGAGTGTGGTGGAGGCTCCTTCTTTGGAAGCTTTTAAACAGAGGCTGGATGGCCATCTGTCAGGGGTGATTTGAATGCAATATTCCTGCTTCTTGGCAGAATGGGGTTGGACTGGATGGCCCATGAGGTCTCATCCAACTCTTTGATTCTATGATTCTAATGGTATATAGCGATCAATGATAGGCTGACTTGTGACATAAAAGTTTTAAAAGGGTATATGGAAACAGACAGATTTCTGGGACGTACGGGGTAAATGTATTGAGTTTATATTCATGGAAGGAAAGGGGAACAAACCTGCAGGGGAAACAATGTAATTTTGGAATTAAAAGATAAGTTGAGTTGGTCCAGGTGGAGGTGGTACAAGAAAAGGGTGTGGGATATAAAGTAGTAGTAGTAGTAGTAGTAGTAATAACAACAATAATAAGGATAAGTAAGCAGCTTTGAGTCCCCTTTGGGGTGAGAAGGGTGGGGTATAAATATAGTAAATAAATAAATAAATAAATAAATAAATAAATAACAGAATATAGTGAAATAGAAAATTGTAATATAGTCACAAGCATAACATGTTTCAAGCGGATAAAGTTCAAAACTAGATGGGAAGCATTTTATTACCATGTTATTTGTTATTTTAGATTTCTATTCAAAAAGTTAATATGTTCAATGATTTTATGTATAAGGTTTTTTTAAGATATGAAGAATATATATATATATATTACTTTTTACATATTGTGTACTTTGGGGAGATGCTGGTGGGATACAAGAATAAAGTTGTTGTTGTGATTATTATTATTATTATTATTATTATTATTATTATTATTATTATTGGTCGCTGTCCACGCAGTCGCTTTGAAGAAAAGGTAACGATTTCTTAACAGGACTTGGGCCTCACTCCACCCAGGCACGCGCTTGATTTCCCCACCACCAAGATAATATTCAAAACTTGAAAGATACCTTGATGATTCTAAAACTTCCAGATGTGGATTTTGTGAGGAGTATAAAAGGCAGTTCTCCTTACTCTCGGTCTGTGGTGTATGGGGCCTCTGATGCACCCAAATCCCAAGGCGATTAGCAGTTGTTTAACTGATAGATTGAAGTATTTATCGTATAGTAGCTGGTTGATGCTGAAGCACAACTGGTTAAGTTAAAGCTGCTGGCTGTAGTTACTGATGGTAAGCTCAACTGGTTATGTTAAATTGATTTGAAATGGCTTTTCCAAACCTGAATTTCTGGGACCGACTGAAGACACGTCCTGTCTCAAGGATTCCCGGGTGGTCTGTGCTATAAAATGGCTCCTTTACCTCAGAAAAGGGGCGTGGCCAACCAACTGTCACAAAGGGCTCCTTTTTCCTCAGGCAAAAGGGGGCGTGGCCAATGCACTGACACAAAATGGCTCCCTTTTCCTCAGACAAAAGGGCAAACACAATGACAGACACAAGCCAGGAAGTGTTTTGCTAAGCTCCACCCTAAAAAAAAAACCAACAACAACAGTAACTGCTCTAAAACTATGGGCGAGAAACAGGGGTGGCTCAACCACTATGCAAAGTAAACATTTGCGGTATAGTGTATAGTGCCCAGGGGTGCTCTTGAGGCACATCCGTAAATGCCCCAGGCCTTTAGAGGTAACTTAAATCAGGGTCTTTAAGAATCAATTCTCTTACTCATGTCCATATGGTAGGAACTCTGATGGGAGAATGAAAACAAATGAAGCACTCTCCTCCTGCAGGAAGAGGTGGAGCCAAACAGTACTGATTGACAGCTATAAGTAAGCAATCCATACAACTATACATAAACAGGGTAAAAGGGGCAGGATTAAGCATGATACAAGTTTAAATCTTGCAACTAACAGTTTTATACATAGGTGGCGCCACCGCGCCGTCACAGAGTCCCTTGGGAGATGGTAGCAGGGTATAAATAAAGTATTACTATTATTATTATTGGCGAATAATGTGTGCAGATCCCAGTAAGGTGGCCTTTTGCAGCTGGCAGATGGTAATCTTGTCAGCGCCGATTGTGTTTAAGTGCAGGCCAAGGTCTTGAGGCACTGC